CGGTGTTACTTAGTTTGCTATATTTTGGGTTTACTGTAATGCTCTTTCATTTTGACCATTAGCTTGGGCTTGATGGTCTGAGCCCCTGATGCAGTGTCCTTGTGAAAGACACCTGGGTCACTGCTCACAGTTTCAGATTCTCCTCATTGGTTGCACTTTAAATAACCAAATATGGGCATTTAGTCAGTTTAAAAAATGAAAAAAAAAAAATCCCATTGACTTGCTGTTCAGTAACTGACCCAATGATCTGTCCTACATAAGTCGTCTTTTATAAGACCAAATGCTAACACTTTGCAGTTGACGATAGCCCAACATACTTTAGTTGCCTCAGTGTGGCGTGGGTCTGGGATTTGTCACGCTGAGGTGAACTCTAATTGGGAAAGCTGATTGAATGGCTGCTCACGTGGAAATGAGAGAAAGTTATGCAAAGTGTGCTGACACTCACTCGCACACCTCTGATTTCTGACTGGGAGAGAGCCAAGGGGATCTTGGGACTTGACAAAACTTGACAGTTTCAGGTCAGAAAAAACTCGAGTAAGTAACTATTTCCAGTGCACTAATGAAAGACCTGAGGCATGTCATTGGGATGTTTACTCCCATATAAAAAGATCTGGTAATAATATGGTTTTCTTAAACCCTCCTACTAATCTTTGCCTGCAGCCTTAGAACAACAAAAAGACTTTTCCGTCTTTGCTTCCTACCCACTGAATTTCTTCTAAACTAGGAGACCACTTTCTGGAATCACAGCACACGTGATTGTTTTTTCCTTTCTCTGCTTTTCACACTGTCAGCATTGCCATCCTGTTGGTGGACAATGCTGAGCTAAGCTGTCCTTCTGTAAAATGTCATTCACTGTAGCTGCTTGTCTGTTTACGCTATTATTTTTCCATCACTCCCAAACCATCAAACACATGAACTTTTCTCTCAGCGTGATTCACTGTGTTTTTTACCCTCCTACCTTTTGTTCCTTCTCTCTGCTTCAGTCATCAGCTTCACAAGACTACTCCACAATGCTTATAACTGGAGAATTATACAAGCCCTCTTTCCATTGACTAAACATGTTGTTCCAGATTATATTGCTGCATGATGTTTCATGCATTGTGAGGAATAATTTGAGCTCACCAGGTACATTATCTTACTCATTTAAATGTTAATTCGAATGCTAATTAGAACCGTTAATCCATGATTATAAATGATGATAAATAACTTCATGAAATGTCCTCTGGATATCTTGAGCTGGCAGCTTGGATCCAGACTTTAGAAAGCGTGCCGATTTGACAGCTCACAAAATCAAACACACTTATGATTACTCTCGACACTGACTATGTGCCCCTCATTTTGTTGAATCACAAGTTTCAGTTTAAACTGCAATTTAGTTTCTTAATCAAAGATATTTTAGTTTGTTATAACTATCACAAAGACATCACATATTTGGTTTTTGAATAATCTTAGCGTCATTGAGAATGATCACCAACTTGCAGTATTAGTGTGAATGGCTGGATTTTCAGTCAAAAGGGAATGGAGTACCACCTCCGGGTTGGGATGACTCACTGCCTCAAGAGAAGTTCAGCTTTCTCTGGCTGTTGTTCATTAGCTAAGGAAAAGTTGAGCATGAGATGGAAAGAAAGTGGCACGGGATCTACAGTAAAGATGATGCTGTATTATAATGTTATGGTAAAAAGACAGCTGAAGCTCTTAATTTACTGGTCAGTCTATGGCCGTGACAAGTAGTGACCATAGATCACTATTATGTTTAGTGACAAAAAGTACAAAATCACAGAAACAAGTGTCAGTAATTAGCTCCCTACAATGTG